ATATTTATATTTATGATTGGTCGCTTAATGATATTTCAAAGTTACAATGGAGACCCCTCCCCCAAAGATACTTACAATCTGGTTCTGAAGTTACAACAGCTACCACCCTCTTGGAATCACATGATCATATTTTGGATGCTTAGTAACCAGCCCCTATTTACAGGCTTTTGCAACGTCCCATGATCATGTGACCACAATTTATGTTTTTGTAGAAAACTGGTCTTCCATTTTTTCAACAAAAGTGCCCCAGAGTAAACAATGGGTTCATGTTAATGACTTAATGACCACTGCAGAAAAAAAGATTGTAAAATCTGGTGACTTATTTTAGGACCATCATGATTTGTAACCATAATGGGCAGGCTTTATTATGATTATAAATTGAGGAATATTTGTATGCTCACATTATCAGTATCTTTACATGCCAACTCTCCTCTCATCAAGTCCTGGTCTGAAAGATTTTGGTCTTAATAGGTTTGTTTCACCAGCCCTACTTTGGTCATATACTTTACTTCAGCTCTTTACATACACAAGAGATGATGGGGTATTATGAAGATAAGTGTCAAGTATAATCAGTTCGTCCTATGTCTGCAAGGTTAAGGGATGATCTAAATTAAAGGAAAATGAAATTTCATAAATATTTATCTCACAGTATCAAATGATGTCCCTCATTTTCCACAATCTTTTACGGAATGGCTCGTGAATCACTACAAAAGGAATAGCTTTTGTTACTTAGAACGCATGGTAGCCCGAATAGATTTTGCTTAGTTTTGTTAAACTTAACCAACCAAGAAGATTCTTCAGCTATAGTAGATTTGCTTTCAGGGATACAATCATATTGGCCTAGTTAGCTGGGCATATCATGATGTTGTCATATCCAGTTTGTGATTCCTGCTTGATTGAAATCATTTTGTACAGGAGAAATCCTTAACTAAAAGAGAGGGAAAATATTACACTGAAGCAGCAGATTGGCAAATAGGAACTCCAGGAAGTATTGAGAGTAGAGGGGCATTTGAAGAAACATTTGAGGGAAGGGGGGGGCCTTAGCCGTCTGTTCATTCCCAAGGTGGACAAATGATTATGATGGTGATAATAATGATTCCAAATTCCTGTATATCACCTATTCCAATATAAAGAAATATACCGTCAGTTTACACCAGAAGGTCAATAAATATAACAGATGAGACAAGTTAAATAACACCCATAGTCACCCAGTCCCAGCGGCAGCGGCAGCCATTATAATTGAAAGATTTTCTGGAACGATACCATTTTACCGTATCTAAATGCCATCAAGATAGACTATAAACCTGAGGGGTGGGGGAAGAGGCGGGGTGTTCTGAAGTCATAGAGCTACAGTGGGGAGTCAACTGCCTTGAGTCTCTTCCCAACCTTCAGCATGAAGGGGATGATTCTGAAGGCATCAGGAAGCCACAGCATAAAGGCAGCACTTTGACCAGTACCTGGAAACTCACTGGCAACCAAGGCCATGCCGCAAAATCATTGCTGTAGCCAGTGATTGCCGGCAACAAGGGTCCACTGTGTTTTGACAATTTCTGAGTAGCCTTCAAAGGCAGCCTCAGTTGAGGTCTAAAGATGGTTCTCCACTAACTACAGTAATTGGGACCAGAATGTCCATCTCTAAGCAATGCAATATTAAAGCATGACATCACATGAATGCATTCCTTAGCGATGGCAATCTCTACACTCCGGATTGCTGTTGTTAACTAAATCCCACCAGTCATTAGTTGAGGACCCAGCCTTATCCAAGCCATTCCTTCCCAGCCCTTTGCCATGGTTAAGTAAGAGCCTGCCTCCTCTTTAACCCACGCTTCCATCTGCATATTTCCCCTCCATCTCTACCCTTTTAGCCACCTATCTACCCAACACTGACAGCTGCCACTGTTTTTCAGCCCTGCCCAACACCACTCCACCGTTCACACTATTTATTAGACGGAACCTCCTTTCACACTGCCTTGTTTCACCCTAGTGCAGCCGAAGCTTCTTCCCCCCCACACACACCCAGGACCTCCATTGTGCCCTCCCCAGGGCGTTGTTTTGCACAAGAATCCCAGGGTGTGGAAGAAGGCTCCAACCAGGAAAGATATTATTTCTCACTGGTGCAACTTGGGCCTTTTTTAATGTGACAGGCAGGCCCTGGGCAGAACATGATTGACTCGCCAATGGAGAGTATGCAAAAAAGTCCCTGGATGCACCAATGTGAAAGAACACCGTGGCCGTTATGGTAGAGGCATACAGTATGGCATGCATGGGAGCAGGGAACAGAACCATGTGGTGGGTATGCAGGTTGCCAAAAGTAAGACTGAGTTGGGCCAAATTTTGTTAAGGACCAACTGAAAGTCCCTTCATTCAACAACTGAGCAAATGGATGATTAACGAGGATTACCTGTATTGCAGTAGTTTAGCCTGGAGATGATAAGGGTGTGGGTTGTACAAATGGAGAACATCAGGTAAAGCTACACTGAGTCCTTCCCTTAAGTAATTAATGTAGTTGGGCCTCCTTCATCATACTTTCAGAAAACAAATTTTCTGTTTTCTTCTTTTAGTCTTATTTAATATAGAGAAATTGAGTGGGTGGGTTTTTACAGCATGCTAAGACAAAGACAGGATTCAAGAACATTCTGAACCACCAACATCATTTTATTCTATACTAATGTTCTGTAAAATTATGATTGTATTATACAGCATTATTGTTAACAGTGTAAAATATCTTCTTTGAGAATTTCATACATGATGGCTTTAGATTAAGTGAATTAATTGCCACAAACTATCTTATTATGCCTGCAAAATGTTCAGGCTGGATAAATAAGCCAAAATTGGAAACCAGGGACTTGGTCACAAATGCAGGAGAGAAGGAATATAGTCTCAGGCCGTAAATTGTACACTTTTGAGAATTTATCATGCAGTAACCTGTTGTTTGTCGATGGTCTGAGAGCCATCCTGGGAGCATATCTAACTAGCTGAGGGTGGCAAATTTCAATTAGCTTCCTGGTGAACAGAGCCAGCTACTAAAAGAACAATTCCTGCAAATAAGTGACTTTCAAAAGAAGCATTACATTTCCTACCACAACTAACTTCTGGCTCTTGGTTTCCTGCTACTTTGACCTAGAGAAGTGTGTACTCTTTCAATTTCTGGGTCCCACTATTGATAGCACAGCCACTCCTTGTCTTTGCATATTAAGAAAATACACCAATTTTCTCACCTAGAAAGTGTGTGTGTGTGTGTGTACACACTCACACACATATATATATATGGGAGTATATATGAAAGCCATGCATTCCGGAAGCCTATTATGATCCTGCTTTTCTCTGCCTTTAGCTGCCTTGTGAGGACCAGATCATCCTTTTGAAGGGCTGCTGCATGGAGATTATGTCACTGCGGGCAGCTGTGCGTTATGACCCTGAAAGCGAAACCCTGACACTCAGTGGTGAAATGGCTGTCAAGCGGGAGCAGCTGAAGAATGGTGGCTTGGGCGTAGTATCAGATGCCATCTTTGATCTGGGAAAATCCCTCTCTGCCTTCAGCCTGGATGACACTGAAGTGGCACTACTCCAGGCTGTGCTGCTCATGTCCTCAGGTATGTGTAGGGGATGGATTATGCTCTCAGTATGCCCCTTAAGTGATTGGCATTATTCAAGCATAGGTGACTCAAACCAAGGCTGAATATAGCTCAGTATTATCCCTGTTAATTATCAATAGCTTTGTAAGACTTCAGATTAAAGTTGTACTTTGCGGAGAAGGTAGAACTTGAACTTTTGGCTGCTTGTGGGCTAGGATCTTAGCTGCAACCTTTCCTTGAGGTCAAGGATGGGCAACATGCAACTTCGGATTTGTCAATGCCTAAGTGAGGCCATGACCATCAATAGGTTTGTATTTGTAGGTATATTTTTTTCACAGTTTTTCAAATCTCCAGCTACAGCAGAATATGTGTCACATTTGTGGAATTGGGTGGGGGGGGTGCTGTACCTGGCTAGTGAATAGTTGGAGGATTAAAAGGATATTAAATAATGAAGAAGAAAGTTAATTTAATGGCTTCAGTCAGTCAGTTGTAGGATTAGTTAAAGTGGCCTTTGGATGTGTTGAAAAATTGAATTCAGGTTGGATGTCATTAACTGGACTCATCATTATGTTCAAGTAAGAAGGTTGCACTGAGAAACCAGAGAGGAAGGAAACATGGTAAGTTTAATTTGAGGGACATCTTGAAGATAGTATTGAGTGATTCTGAGTGAAAAGTCATTCTCGTTATATTATGACTGTCACTAAGCAACATTTGATAGAATTGCTTATTGACAGTCATAATATAACGAGACTATTATTGGATGCAGTCCCAATAATAGTCATTAGGTGAGGGTTATCTGTATTCTTTTCCTGAAGGTCATTATAACATAGCTGTAAGCAGTGAGCAAGGGCCACTTTTAATCTCTGGAGATACATAGAAAAACTCTTCAGATACATAGAAAAACTCTCTTCAGATACATAGAAAAACTGTATATCTAAAACACTAGAGTAAGAATAGGGAACTTTAATCCTTTGGGCCTAAAGTAGCCAGTCAGGCCAGTTCCTATAGACTTTGACAAAGATCTTATCCTGCCTCACAAAGTCTTTGTCTCTTCCTGCAAGCTGTTGTGGTTAGCCAGCAACAGGTGCGGACGATAGAGGAGAGCGAGGACTCAGATGAGGGGCCAGGACCATTAGGGAGTGGACTGCTGCCTTCAGAGATTGTGGGGGCTGGCAGCAGTGATGAGGAGGTTCCCGAGGAGCCTGTGCCAAGTGCGCGTGCACGCAGGATTGATCGTAGGAGAGAGCAGTTAAAGCAGCACAGGCGACTCAGGAGTAAGGCTGCAAGGTAATGGCCCGTCCCTCAAGAGGCTAAAAGCCAGGTTTGTAGATGTGTTCTTTGCAGAAGGCAAAGACGCTCTGAGACTCAGCCTCATGGACATCATAGTTATTATTTGAAAACTCTTGGAAATTAGTTCTTATCTCTGGGTTTTTGGCAGCCTTAATAAACAACTTGGCAAGGCTCTTGTCAGAGCTAATTAGTTAGAAGCAGTCTTTTATCTGTGAAGAAACAGAATTTGTTGATTAAACCTTAAAAGGTGAGGGCTGCTGCCTTTTTCTGGTGTTTGCTGTTTTGGAACCAGGTTGGGTCAAAACACAAGCACATTTGTGGATGCTCTCTTTTATGGGGGCAGGGGAGCAGAAAAAAACCAAGGAGGTTGAACTTCAGGTGCTGTGCTTTGCCCATACGGAGGACACAGTTAATTCTAACCTGAGCAATGACAGTTTGGCAGATTTAGTGAGTCAGAAAGATAACTTGGGATTGGGACAACACTTGGTTGGTTGCAGAGGGGCAAATTTACACATGCAGCTTCAGTCTGCCTTACGTGTGTCCTCTTTTTTATTTGTTTTGCAGATCGCAGTGGGCTTATTTGCGTTGATAAGATTGAGAAATGCCAAGAGACCTATCTGCTGGCATTCGAACACTACATCAATTATCGCAAACACAACATTCCCCACTTCTGGCCCAAGCTCCTCATGAAGGTGACCGACCTGCGCATGATTGGGGCTTGCCATGCCAGCCGCTTCCTGCACATGAAGGTGGAATGCCCCACGGAGCTCTTCCCCCCACTCTTCCTTGAGGTCTTTGAGGATCAGGAAGTTTAGGGCATGAGGAGGGATGGAGGGAGGGTGGCAAACACAGGGTGGCGTGGGTGAACTGGGGACATGGGGCAATTTGGGGCTGGGGCGATGTCTGGACTTGGGTTACAAGGCCCTCACCTCATCACCTCGGACACAACAGATTTTCATTGTTTTGTTCTGTTTTGTTGTTTTCATTTCTTTTCTTTTTTTCTTTTTGTTTTTTGTTTTGTTTTTCTAAATATTGCACGTCAGCATCAGTGAATCCCCTGGATAGGGGAAGCAAGGGCATCCTTGGCAGGGGGTGGGCCGCGATAAAAGTCAAAGCTATACAAAATCTGGGTTATGAGGTAGACATGTGCAGTAGCCAACACATTCTTTGTCTAGGCAGATTTTTTTTTTTTAAAAAAAAAAGTAATAATAATACAATTCCCACCTGCCCCCTTGTTATGTCCCCTGTTGTCCAAAGTTATCTTTCTAGGGTGAAATGTCTGTCCTAAACTTTAACATAAAAAAGAGAAAAACAATCCACATATTGTTCTCTTCCCCCCTCCCTCCAAAATGCTTTCGCCTTTCTCCCCTTCTTTAAAGAAAAGTTTTCTGCCTCCCTCCACACATCCCCACAACACTGGAAACAATTGGCACCTCTTGAGCCCTGATCAAACCTCTCTCGTTTAAATGGACTTGATTACCAATATATATAAATATATAAAGATATATATATATATACCTTCTTTTGCACATAACAGTCCCAGGAAACGTCAGAGTGTGTTTGGTTGTTGTTTTTTTCTTTAAGAACTTTAGCATTTAGTTATCCTCCCTGGGAGGCTAAAATCGAAAATGCACTTTTTTTTGTAAAAGAAAGAAAGAAAGAAATGGAACCGAGAGAGAGAGAGAAAAAGAGAAATCCTATTAAATTATTAAGGGCAGGTGGGAGGAGGAAGGTCACAGATGTTTTGCAAAATAAAATAAAATAAGAATAAACCTAAATTGAGGCTGAAGGTCCACATGTGAAGGACAAATGCACTTTGAGTGAGATAAAAATCCTTCCCCTCGTCTCCTCCCTTAATAGAGAAACAGATGACAAGATCTATTTTATATTGCTTTGAATGGCACTGCAGGGCTTGCTTCTTAAGAGGTGCCTGCTTTGTGTTCCAGTGTTGAGAGGTATATTCATCAGCCTTCTTCCTTGTCCCAATGCCCTCTTCCCTCCCCAAAGCTTCAGCCAATCTACCTCCATGTTCAGCAAGGTGGGTGGATTAAACAGATTCCCACCCACACCTGCTGCCCCCTCCCACTGGGCTTCGAAATGGCCCTTGCTAATTCTTTGCACACGCTTTCCCACGCCACGTGGCGGTACACTTCTTTCTGCACTAGTATTCTTGCTGTCCTGCTGCACCCTCCCTTCAACGCCCTTCTCTCTGGGGAAGAAAATAGGAGAAATCCTAACCCTTCAATGCTCCAAGAGAATCAAAGTTAGGTTTCAATTCTTTCTTTCTTTTTTTATGGGGAGAAGGGGGAATGGCACTTAGCAATACAGAAAACATGAAGACAGTGAAATTAATGGGGACATGGCACACACTGTAAAACCCAGGATTGTACAGCCTTTCTGTATTAAGAGGTTGTAGGCTCTGCATAATAACTTCTCTTTCTCCTACAGCATTCCATGTCCCCCTGCACTTCTGAATTACTGGCCCTTTTGTAGTCCCAGTTGTATCTGTGCACGTGGGAAGAAAAGGTTTCTCTTAAAAGGCCTGTTGGAAAGGTTATCCTGGCCTGATTAAGTCTAATTTTCCCTTTCGGACGGGTGTTTGATCAATGAAATAATATTCAAATGCACTTCCTTGCACAAAAGGAGGATCATTCTGCCTAACTTGAACTGTCATGGGCAGAGCAATGCCCCAAGCCTCAGGTTGTGTGAACTGTATCAGAGGTGATCCAGTTGGGAACTTGGAGGCAGGCTACCCACATTTGTAAAACTGAATTGGCCAAGCTGGTAAGAGAAAAAACACCTCAAGTTTTTCAAATTAGGTATTGTTTCCATTTGATTTCAGCTTTTTTTTGTTGTCATTATTTAGTGTTGTGCTTATGTGGTTGTAACTGGTTGTTGGAAAATAGAACCTCTGAAGTTCTGGCCAGAAGTTAGCTTGATGAGAACATCATTTGGAGAAGGGGAATATGGTAAATTTTGATCAGGCCTAACAACCCCATTTTAATAGCCACCAGCCCTGCCTTTTATCCTGTACTTTTGCCCCTTGGCTGATGCTTGGGGAAGGTGGAGCAATTGGTACATAGGGCCATATTTGACATGGAACATCCAGTTATGAATCCCCACTCTAAAGATTTGCCCTTGGAGGAGGTATTTCTAAAGAGAAAAACAAAAACAAGATAACAACCACCAGCTTCCCGCTTTCTTCCTGTCTTTTTCACCTTTAATGTAAGCCAGACTGTGATCACCTTAATGCAAGTATTTTGGCACTTAACACTGTTAATAGATCAGACTTCTCTATCTCTCCTAAACTGCTTTATCTGTGATAGATCCATTTCTTGTCAACTTAATAGCCAGACTTTTTTTTCTGCAACTGTAATATGATGTTACTCGGGAGAGGGATATATTTTTATTCCCCCCTTCTTTTGTTCTTTCTCTCTGTCACATGATTTCCGTTGGAAAAAAGAAACCCTTTACCTCTTACCTCATTCAAGACGCCGTGGGAAATGTTACACGTTGAGTTGGGTGCATGTTGGATGTATCATCTGAAGGTTCAGAGGCCGGCGCATGGAGAACTTAGCTCCAATTTAAGCTAATATACAGAATATATATATATATATAAATATGTATAATTTTTTTTAATTGAGAAGAAAAATCTTTGTACGGGTCTGTTCACAAAAAAGAAAAGAAAAATCACACAAACAAAAATTTGGGTTGGAAAAACATAATACTTCTTTTGTTTGTTTGTTTGATTTTTGCTTTGTTTATATCATCTTTAAGTGACATGGGGTTAAATGGGGAAGTAATTGCTGGCTTGGATTGAAGCGAGTCTGGGATCCTAAATGCCAGCTATCATACTGGATAATATTCAAGGCAATGCCTGTTCCCCAGTCATCAAATGTGATGTTGAATACAGATCTTAACAGTCTCATGGTTTTTTTTTCTTTAAAAAAAGCAAGTTTCTAACTTGTATGGCAGTAAAGACAGTTTGTGAAGCCCAATGAAACCTCAGAACAGACCTTAAGTGGGATTTTCAGTGGTGTGGAATACATCTCTGGTACAAAAACAGGATGCATTATGAAAAATAAGACCACATTTGTGGTTTTTCTTCATTATTCCATTTTTCTTAGAGCAGCATTCAGCCTTTCTTGATGTGGGAGTTAGATGTTTGTGTTTAAAGTGCAGAGGAAGCTCCATGCCCAGTTGTTGTTCCACCAGCTTCTTTCCCCAAGGAATAAAACTGGGTCCATGGAAAGAATGTATCTTGAGAAGATGCAGAAGTTTTGCCTTGAAAATATGAGCTAATCCTGGGTTTCTTTGAGGGAGAAAACTTTTTTGTTCAGCTTAGATGTTGAAGAAACTTGCCTGAAACTATCCCCAAAGCCTCATATCCATGCAATAACAATTTGAAAAGCACCCAAAGATGAGGAACTTTATAGTCTGATTGGCTAATTTCAAAGACTGGTGTTTTCTTATTTTATTTAAGTCATAACATGCTGCTCCCTGTATACCTACACAATATGCACACAGCTTATTAGAAACTTAGGTTCCTTCATACTTAATCCAGCTCTTCTGAAATTAGATAGTTTACTCAGACCACTTAACGCTGCCTGCTGCAACCCTCATTGTTCTGCCCTTCTCTAATACTACCCGCCCCTTCTAAAATCTGTATTGGTCCGATGAAACAGGCTTGCAAGTCTTTGGTAAACAGTTCCCCTCTTACATTAATCTTCCCTGTGCAATAAAATGAGGTATGTGTGCTTGTGTGTACGAGAGAGCTGTATATATTGTGTTTGTTCCTGTGTCTGTGAGAGACAGAGGTTAATTAGGCTGAACTCCTCTAACCAGAAGGGAATCCTACTGAAATCACTGGATTTGCTTCAAAGTGGCCATTAAAATTCTTTTGCTAGGCCCTGATCTTATATCTTAAAGGTTTGACGGAAAATACCCTTTTTGGACTTGAATCAAAGACTCACTTTATGGACATAAGTTTCTGCCTTAAATGGAAGCAGACCAGTGTCCTCTGTAGCTCAGTATTCTCCCCTTGGGCGGGCAGCAGTCCCCAATGCTTCAGGCCGTTTCCCTCAGCGATGGCACCTGAGAGCCAAGCAGAACGAGAGGCTGGAGAGCAGTGAAATGAAGCGATCTGACTGTTTGGGTTTCTGGCAATTCAGAATCCTCCGCAAAAGGTAGGGCTGCATTTTTCATGGAAACATCCTTTTCTGCTCCCTCATTCAGAGAGTGAAAGACATGTAGGGGTTTCTATGAATTGAATGCGGGACCTCTCTGGTGCCATGCAAGTGTTCTGCCATAGAAGTTTATATAGCACTTATCCACGTAGGTTTATATAGCACTTATTCACAAGAACAGCCTTTGCTTAGTTCCGGGTTGGAGATTTTGACAGCTATATCTGCTTTTGGTGGTGCAATTGGGTAAAGTTAGAGCATGGAAACTATTATCTCGAAGGAGTATTAGGTAAGGGAAGCACAGTATTTGATTAAAACAGGAGGAATTGGTTGTGATCCGTAGGTACCTCTGTGCTGCTGTCCTTGTTTTGCTTCAGGAGCCCAGAGCTCTCTTCTGTGCTAAGATCATCACAGTTTAGTAGGTTTTTAAATAGTGCCCAGTGTTAGTATAACCATCCAAAGCAGCTTCCCCCTTTTTATTGATAGACTTTTTTTTATACAACCATTACTCTTAGCCTACTGCATTATTCTTAGGCTGGCTTCATACGTTTTGTTAAGATACAATGTGATTTTCCTTGATTTTAGCTTAGCATGTTGTATGAAACTTAGCCATCTTTTTAAGCCATAGTTCATGGTTTTGCATGTTTTATGAACTCAGTTAATTTATTCATTAAATCATAGTTAAAACATATAATGTGTGAACTCAGCCTTAATCATCTGCTTTCCCACTATGCAAGACCCATTCTTATTCAGAATTAAATATGGATGCTTCCCTGTAAGGCCGTAAGGTTCCTTAGCTTTTTTTCAATGCTTTCTTTCCATGACTCTTCCAGTGGAAAATTTTTAGGAATTTCTACAGATGTGAGTAGTAGGAACTAGCTTTCTGGCCAGAAAAGAGTTACAACAAAATCTGAAAACTTAAACTGAAACTCGCTGAATAAATAAAATAGAGCATTAGCTATCCGTTTGTGACTCCCACCCACTGGTAACTCCTGCACTGTCTTTCGACTTTATGTAGTCTTGTTAAACAGTCTTGTTAAAACAGCAATATGCTTTTCAGGCAGGAGCCCTTTTCTACTTAACCATTTTCCAGTTGTATTTTCAAAACCAATCTGTTACTACTGCAATAGTATTTCAGCACCACATCCACCCACTGTCCATGATTGGACTGTTGGCATACAACTGTTGTAAAGAAAGAAAACAAAAAAACTCCTTAAGTTTCTATGCATCTCGGGGATTTGGCTTGAAATCAGATCTCTGAGATGTGTATTTTCTAACTGGAATATTGAATAAATTTTGGCAAGGAAAAGACATTCAGAATTATCCATGTAATTAGGAATTGAACTCAACTCAAGCTACTTTTTATCTTTTTATACTCTCCCCCCCCCCCCATCTATTTATTCATTCCAAACTGAAAAGATTTTAATGCATCCCAGATATCACAGAAATGTGTCAAAAGGTTTTTACTGGCTAACTAATTTTCTATCCTTATTCATATTTCATTTAGGGAGAGGTACAGCTTTCACTAATGTATCTGCACTACACAAAGCTGGTTAGTATTCCCAACCCATTCTTATCCATTTCAGAAATTGAGATGCTTTGCAAGGTATGTAATTTCTAAGCCTCAAGCATGTTTATTAGCATATACCTTCCATACTGGCACTTTTCTGTTATGAATGAGCTGCTATTGAGTTGAAGGTGATCACATAAACAATGTTTTTACTGAATCGACACATTCGGTAGTTCTTAGGATAGCCGAATGTGTGAAATCCTCCTTGGGTGAATGTAGCATCTGAAAGAGTTGAGTGTTGCTTGAGGGAGATTTGAGGTCTTTAGATGCACATACACAATCAATTCAGTTGTAAAAGGAGTTTGAAACAATATCAATTCAGTTAGGTTAGAAATGAATGTAAATATAAAACAGAGTTGGACTGATCAGCTAAAAAATATCTAATAACCAGCATAAGGGCAGGTTGAAAAAGAATCAGCCATTTGAAATTCTCTTCTTAAAGAATTACTTCTTTTTGCTCACTTAAGATGGAATGTTTGTCCCAAGCTGGCACCTACTACAAATGTGGCTAGTGTATAAAATATTTCTGTATCTTCTTTTGGAAGCAGTGAATCTGTGGCCATTGTGCTTCTTACATGGCATTTTGAAAATTTCTAAGAGTATTCCAGGATGCTCTGCCCACTTATTTAGGCCAAGAAATCCTGCACAAATAAGCATGAAGAATGCCTTTTCTGAGGAATTTTCAAAAGTTGTTGCTTTTTTCTGCAAGCAAACTCTAGCCACTTTGATGAGTTTTCTCCAAAGAAAATCAGAATGAAATTATTAATTGGCTCAAACATCTGGATTGGTTCTAAAGTTCAGCTTCCATAAATTCCATTTAATTGAGTTGAAGCCAAAGTATTGTGGACAAGATCCCAAATAAATCCTTTTTCAGATCACTTTTTAACTGATAAACTTATCTTCAGCCTTAATTTTATACCATTGTATTCCAGGCTGTCTAAATTCTCATGGCATCCAAGTGAGGGGCTGTTGCTTCAAAAGAGAGAGTCAGAAAAACAAGATTCTTGAAGCCGAGCATTCTGCAAAACTTTACAGTGTTTGGAAGGTCTCATAATTCTTCTTATTTTCAGTTAGAATAAGAATAAGCAATACATAAAAAATAAAAAGCTGATTTTGACCTAAAATAACAGATTTTAAGATCTTCTTCCCCAGCCTGCCTGCCAAAAACGGTTCCGGTGTATTTGACATTCATGCCTCAGGTCAGCCCCTTTATTCTCTTTTCCTTCCCTGCTTTCTCACCCACAGATCAAGGAGCCCCAGCTGGACAGTCTCAGCTGAAAGACACACATTATTTCCTAGTGCTAGTTCTTGACTTAATTTGACTTACCTCAGCAACCAGCCTTTCAAGTTCTTACCCCAAAATCTGCCACATAGTTCTTTAAAAGATAAAAAATAAACCTCTGGAGGTTAATTTCTTTTGATAACATTGAACTACATGGTAATCCTCATTTATCCCTGGCAATTTGGTTGTTAAATGAAGTGGTTGTTAAGTGAAACGGATTGTGTTTGCGATCTTATGTCAGTTTCCTTTGCTTTACAGACCTGCAAGGTTATAAATGCAAGGATTAGTTGCAAGGATTAGTTTCAACACTGTCATAACTGTGGCAGTTGCTAAACAAGGACTACCTATATACTTCTGCTGCCTGCAAAGGGCTGCAGAAGCTATGGCTTTCTTCCCATTTATAACGCTCCTTGCCAGGCTGAAAAAGTTTGCATAGGTACCGTAACAAATCTGTAATTTCCCCCTTAACCTGGAAGCCTAAAAAAACAGATCTCACATAATCCTCCTATCATTACCTTATTCCAAATCCCACCTTCAGTTAGAACTAATACCCTTCCTCCCTCTCTTTTTGGGTGGGGGGGGGGGGGGGGTGGTGGAGGGGG